TATACACCTGTGCAGTGATGTTTGCTGCACAAACTACACAGCTAGCAAAGTACTTTTGCAGAGCCTGAGTAGTCGGTGTTTGTGATCGGAGTGTTGAGGGTATTTTGGGAGAAGGAGAATTGCGTCCTGAACACTTTCAGTCTTGATATTGTTAGATTTTTTTTTTCTTTTTTGGAGAAGAGAGAAGTAGAAAATGAGATGGAGATGGTAGAAACATTGTTTTTCTGGTCCCGTAGGCAGACCTAGGTAAAGCCAAGCCGTACAATAGTATGAATACATACTTCAAGAACCATGAGGTTTTGCAGATTGTTGTAGTATGTTAGCCCTTGTGTCTGCTGTTTGCACCATGCAGAAATCTGTCCCACAGAGAATGAAATGACCAGACTTGTGATTTGATCCTCTCATAGTAAAGCCAATTCCAGCATTTACTCAAAGGCTAGATCCAAATACTTAGTGAGGAGGTTTGGAAAATTAATTTGCAGAAGTTCCGTCACAAACTTGCACTCATCAAACCCACAAATATCAGATTATAGCAAGAATGCAGATACTGGGCATATTATTTTGCTTTGAATAATTGCATTTTATAAGCCTCCTGTCTAAAACCCCTTCTTTGTTTTCTTGGAAGTGGTTTTGATACTCGGTTGCATACCAGCCATGTTAGTATTCAATTGTATTAGTTGTATACTAATATTGTTAACATCTTTAAGCTAACCTGAAAGAAAACTTATACATTGCCTTAAGGTAGATATAACACCAAGAATGTGCTTTTAAGAAATAAAATTAAGAAATTATACCAATGTAAAAATAAATAGTAATACAAAGCCCTCATATTAGCTAGGTGAGATTTAGGTCCATGAACCTTATCTGTTTATCTCGTCAATATATCAGCCACAGTATTTTTTACCGTCTTAAGGAATCAATAAGAAGATGCGTGCCATTTTTTCTTTCCTTATTTTTAATTTTTTGTGTTTGCCTTTTAAAAGTTTTATATTTTACAGTTTTTAAAGTTTACTTTCATGGTTATATATATGTGTCAGTTGATGGCTTTAACAGTGGTCAAGAAAAAGTCAAACTTGAATTGACTGAGAAAAAATCTTTACAAGTAGGGAATGAGGAACTCTGGCCTGAACTATTCACTAAACAAAGTGCTGTGTTCCAGCGGGTAATTAATAAAATGTTCAGTCTGCTCCATGACAATACTGCTTGCTAATGGACACTCACAATTTTTGAGATGTTTGGAACGCTTCCATCTTTACTCCAGATGCCAAAGACTGCCAAAATCTGCCAACTGTTAGCTGAGAGGAGGAGAGTCCATTTTTTGTTGTTTGAACTTTTCCCATACAAATCTAGCCTTAGCAAAACAGAAGGCTGCCATGTAGTGAGGAGGGACTGCTGATACTCAGGTCGTTTAAAGCTTCTCCCAGTGTTACTAATGTCTTTTTTTACTGTGCATACTGTTATGCACAACAGCTGCATATTAAAAGAAGAATGAAACTCTTTCGCCATTTTATTCTTCTGACAACTAACTGGTAGAGGCTCACTGCTTCTTAGCACTGTAGTAAGAATCTCTCATCTGTCCCTAACATTTCATGTAAGCTGCTATAATACATATTTGAAAGACTATGTTTAATTGTACTGTGTTAGAGTCCAGCTGTGAAAGCACTATTTCAGACATAAATCAGTAGGAAGCATTTGCTTGCCCAGAAATGATCACAGGAGTCCATTGTAGTCCTGGAAGTATGCTCTTTTGATTTGGTGGAGCTACTGCACTACACACTGGAGATTGGTTTGGCAATGTCCAGAGACAGCACACGTTTTTTCATATAGAATATCTGCAGATTGTATTAAATGAGTATCAGGTAATAATTTGAGTCTTTTTTTCTAGAATCCGTATTTGCATTTCTAACAGAATGTTAGTCTTGCTTGGAAAGTAAACATTACACAGCATTTACCACAAAGTGGTACGTATATGGAGTAGGAAATAGTTACAAAATCTGCATGTAGCATCTTTTGATAAATGCTGACTTTTTATCACATTGATTATATTAAAATTACCTTAATAGTTTCCTGTTTATTCATTTGTTTTGTATGGTATTCATAATAGGAATATTCGTGATCATAAATAGAATAAATTTGGTTCGGGAGGGAACACTGGACCAGTGAATATAGCACTGGGATGCAAGAGGCATGCATTGCATTTTGCTTTTCATAATCACTTTGTAAACAGACTGGGACAAGTTAATTTCATCTCAGTGCCTTAGTTTTCCTTCATACAAAATCGAGAACCCAGTACTTCATTTGAAAAATGCATTGAGCTCTGTAGAAAGATAAGTTATTTAAGAACGATGTGAGATTTTATTGCTGTTGTGGTGAATGGAAGGAGGTGGTGTTCATGATCATTCATACCAAACCTTGGTTTATTCCCTGTTTCCATCTTTCTAATAGGATGTTCTGAAAATAAAGATTTCCAGCATGAATTGGTTGGAAAATTACAGTAGAGAGATAGAATTACCTGTGGAACAGTCAGAGATTTGTCAGTGGGATCTTTCAAGGCTGCAGCTCAGATTCTCTCCTGTTTATTCTGCTTCCTGAGCAGTTGCCATGCATCAGATGAGGTGTTTTTTGAAACGTTGCTGTTTTGATTTAGTGGCATTTCATGTCTACTTTTTTTCTCTTTTATATCTCCTGTAATTCTTCTTTTTATATGTTAGAAGACAGTCAAGAAGCGGGACCTTTGAAATTCTTTATTACAAAAACTTAAGATTTATATTCTAGTCATTTATGCGTAGGGATATTTGTCAAAGGAACTTGTAGGACTTATCAATCACTTCGGTTGAATTTCAGTGGGATTTCAAAGTCTTAATCCCTCAGCAGCTTCCTTCCACTTTTTCATCTCAAACATCAATCTTCTCATACGTGGCAATGATTTATTGGCAAAGCCCCTCAGACGGAAATGACAAGAAGGCTTTCAGGGCAGTTGTTTTCACTGAATTACCTAGTATTTCTAGCCAGATTTCATATATTCCTCCTGCTTCAGGCACACTGTTCCTGCTGCTCCTGATCCTCCACGATTTTATGTGTTTCCCTGGTCTACAACTAAACAGATAGATAACTTGGAATTTATAAATGGGATTTTAAGTAACATCATATTTAGCAAATAAAGCAATATATAAATCAGCAAATAAAGCAGGACAATTGTCTGTGATCTGTCATAGAGAAACGGGCAGATTACTTCATGAGGCAGTGTCTCTGGAAGTGATGAGAGACAGTAAATCACCAGGTATAAAGCCAAAGAAATACATTCTTTGAAAGTGCATAATTTTGTATTTCACAGACACATTTACTGAAATATTACTAGAGATAATAGTAACTGGCATTAAAGAAACCTAAGCAAATTAATTTTCGGTGTACTGTAGTGTTAGTTTTATTTAATATGTGTTTGAGTGACTATAATTTCAATTAGAAAAATGACAAAATTGTATTGTAGTAGTTTAAACCTTGATATAGCTAAAAATTGGGCTCATGGTTTTTGTCAGGTTCGTGTATAAGTATCCCATTACATAGTTCCAAAAAGATCTCTCTCCTGTCACAATTCCAAATGGCAACTACTTTCTCTCCCGCTCCTGCCGTGCTCCTTCAGGTAACAGAATTCTCTTTCCTTTTTTCCACATACTCATCTTAGCCTCTGGCCCTGACCTGGAAAAGGTTCTTGCAGCTCCTTGGCTCACAGACCAAAGGTGCTGAGAAGGGCTATGGCTTATCTCTGTCTACTCAGCACTCCTTTTGTACCACCATATGATTGACTGAGAAAATACTTAAGCCTTGTTAATCAGCACACAAGGGAGCCAACAGAAAGCGATGGGGTCTGATAAGTGCCTTGAAATTACTTTCACATTGAAATCACTTTAATATTTTATACTGGTTGAATTTTATCAGGACTTGCCATTCAAAGACAGTTTACTCCAAAATGGTTTATGTAAACTGTAGCATTTGCAGAGTAGTCGCAATAGTACAGACTGTTGTAACATACTAATGTTTTGAAATCATGGGTCCATTTTGCATCTGTCCGACAAAGCTGAAATTGCACCAAGGTAGCATTTGCCAATACACAGAATTGGGTTTGCTTCCAACGAAATTTTTAAGCTACTCTATTTTTAATTTATATGCTGTACTGACTTTAGCAAACCACTAACTCCATTTACAGATCGAATTTGAAGTTAGTTGATGAAGTTATATTATCAATGTTTAATCAGTATCTTTTTCGTTTGTTTGTTTAGAATTGCAACGAAACCCAGCAGATGGGATACCCAGTGCTGGGTGGCACAGGCGTCTGCTGTAGGTCATCAGTCTGTTTTCGCTTGCATCCTTTTTTCCAGACTGTATTTCTTTCCCAAGATTAGGCATCAGAGTAAAGTTCAGCAGACAGTGTATGTCAACTGTTAATCACCAGCTATTGTTCCCTACCTATGTGCTTTTGTTAATAAAATCCATACCACTAAAGAACCTTACTTTTCACTTTGGAAAAATCATTGTTTCAGTCTCCCTTGATGTATTATACCCTTTGTGGGTAGCCTTGTTTCCTTCCTTCCAGTCTCAGCCATTCTCTATGCTCTTGAAATGCTTGGTTACTCTCCTTCAGGTGCCTCTGCTGCAGGAACTATTTAGTATCCTTCTGTGTACTTTTTTTTTAGTTCTTAATGTAAAACAGCTGTGTTTATTGAAATTACCCTTGTTACATATATTATGCGTATGAGATACAGAAATCTAAATATTGGAAGGGTTTGATGTTCATCAAGTAATTGTGAAGGAGAATGTCATACCCTTAATAAATTGACTTCCTCTTTATCATTCTCAGTATTATACAATTTTGTGTGATGGTTGTTCTCCCTTGAGAATTTTACCAAGGGAATTTTTGCCACCAGAGCTTTTCCATTTTGGCCCTCAAAAAGCAGATTAATGTTTCATTGTGTCAAAATCTCCATATCTTTATTCTATTACAGGAATACACAATAGATGTTTTCTTCCGTCAGAGATGGAAGGATGAGAGATTAAAGTTTAAGGGCCCAATGAACATTCTTCGATTGAACAACTTAATGGCCAGCAAAATTTGGACCCCAGACACATTTTTTCACAATGGAAAGAAGTCAGTAGCTCATAATATGACAATGCCAAACAAGCTTCTTCGAATCCAGGATGATGGGACTCTCTTGTACACCATGAGGTAAGTCTTGTCATCTGCTCTCTATTCAAGTGATTTTTCCAGATAACAATTAAATAAGGTTCCAGAAGGACTCTCCTTTGTTTCATTTCTGGCCCAGCAGAAAGAAAGTAAGGAAAATTTACGTTTTGTTTCTAGTTCTGTTACAAGTCTGTTGGCTGATTATGAGTTAGAGCAGTTTTTCTACATGTTCTTCAGTTTTCATACCTCTATAATGTCTTAAAAGGTACTGAGCACCTGCGTAAAGTGCTTTGAGACCTTCAGATGCAAATCACTCTAAGAATTGTTAAAAATACTCAAAGTTTACTGACTCCATCTTAGAACAATTAAACTGCTACATGACTTTTGCCTGTTACTGCACCCATTGTACTGACCATGTGAAACCATAAACAAATTTATTATTGAGATCAATGATAGTAAAAAAATTAAGAGGAAGAAGAAAGGGTTAATAAGGCCTCAAACTCTTTCTAGCAAGAGCTACAGGGAAAATATATCTTACTCTGCCGTAACTGTTTCTTTAAATCTAATTACAGTATTTTACTTAAAGTTTTAGATTTTGCAACCTGTGGATAATTAGCAGCTAAGATAAACATTTAGCTCATAAAATGTGTTAAATTTGCTTAGAAAATTATTTATGAAAAGTTATAACGTCATTTATGCATAGACATAAGCAGCGATTATATAATACTGATTTCTTCTTCTGTTACTCTTTTTGCAATAATGTTACCTGTATGAAATTTTTGGAAATTTTTTATCCGCATTTCCGAAAACCCCTAACCTAGTTTCTTTCTTTTTCTTTGATTATATTTAATAAATTGGATTGGTTGTGAAAGTAAACTTAAAATCCCCAGTTATAAAACGTGAACTGTAAAGCAAACATGTGCTATGCAATCTTTTCCATACAGCCATACCAGCATCCCCGAAGCCTGATTTACTGTACAACACCCAAGCCCTTATAGTACTGAGTGCTGACAGGCAGATGCTAATGATGTTGAATGATGTGGTAGCTGAAGAGGTTTCAAAAAGCTTGTTGGAAATAAATCGAGACCTCCATTTATAATATTTTTTGCTTGGGCTCAAATCAATATTTTTTCTTGTATCTGTATAAACTGCCTGAAATTCTTTCCCTCCAGAAGGTATTCTAATCATATATATAATGAGAAATACTGTTTGAAACCATTATCAAGAATTTTTTTGAAAAACATAAGATGGGTTATGTCAGGTAGAATTAGCTAAGCATTTTCAGACTTGTTCATAAATTCATAACTTGTAAGTATGTTGCTTACGAGGCTATGAGATTAATGTGCAAACTGTTTCATTATCTAGGTTTTAAACAGGCATTTTTATCTGTGTCTGTTTAAAATGACAATGTGATTTATATCAGAGCCTCATACAGTTCTTTCCTGTGCTTTCAGCTGTTTGCTGACTCTTCTCTCTCCTCCTTAACTTCAGAACAACTTTCTGGGGAAGTGGGGGAACAGGAACATGGAATGTTTTGAGGTGAAAGGGTGGGAGAACATAGTGGGGAATACAATGACTATGAGCCACTGGGAGTACAAGAGGACATAGCTGATGTTTGAGGCTGGATGAAGAGGAACGAAGACATCCAGAAAAAAAATCTCTACTCAGAGGAGACTTACAGGATAAGAAGAGAAACAGAGCTTTTTTTAAAAAAAAAATCTATCAAAAACTTTTTTCAAACTGTTTGAAATTATTTTTATTATTGTATTAATTCCCATATTTGATACTGGAATAATGCTGAGAATTTTTCACAAAATGAGCAAAAGTGAATGCATTGTTAACATACTATCATACTTATACATAAATAAAAATAGTCACAAGTAACATGGAGAATGAGTAGCCACTATGTTTAGAAAGAGCACATTCTACATCTTCCATTCAAACTGTAAAAAAAAAAAATTCAGAAAACTATGAAGTACAGTCGTTTGGCAAATTAAGTGTATTTTATGTGCTTTTGTAGTGAGCCTTTGAAAGCCATATAGCACACGTACCTCAGAATATTATGAGAAGAAAATGACCGTTCTTAACAACCTGCAGTTACATAATTTATATTTTCTTTTAAATGGCCTTTCCTCATAGTTTTGAGGTCAACTCTTTCAGGTTTTTGATGTGATAAGTTGATGCCTTCCAAAGGAACACATAAAAGGGAAGAAGCAAGAGCTGATTTAAATTTTAATTAGTTTAATATAACATTTCAGTTTCATCTCCTAAATCAGCATGAACTCTGTTCATTTCTGTGGAATTGATTTTCTTGTCCTGCTAACTGACTTAAATGCATAGCGATCTTTTGCCTTTTAGGCTTACAGTCCAAGCTGAATGTCCAATGCACTTGGAGGACTTCCCTATGGATGCTCACTCATGCCCACTTAAATTTGGCAGCTGTAAGTATATAGCAAGAACTGTAGCCTTTGGTTAATGAATATCTGACATTGCTCAGCATTGCTTTGTTTCAGTAAGTTGTTACATGAGAGGTCTAAAACACAAGACAGTACTTTAAAAAAAATTCGTAACCTGACACATCGAAATCTCTTTTATCTTTTCAGTGTTGTGTCTTCTAATGTATTTTAAAGCTTTCTTGGCTCCATTTAACAATAAACGCTATTCACCTAATTCAGCAGTGCACTGATCTGCTTTTATTCCAGCACACAAACCAGACTGATGAATGCAGACCTGGGTGCATGTAGCCTGTGTCGTATTAAGGAGCAGATTAAAGACTCAAAGAATGTTTGTTTTCATTTATTGAAACATTTATTTTCTCTTTATTGTTAATGATGCTTGCTTTTACATTCTTAGTCAACGAAGGCAACAACAAGTGTCTTGTGATAAAAAATTTCACTCGTTAGCACATCTGCATGTTACAGACAGGTGGACTTTGATCTCGCTGGTATTATTTTAACAGCAGCGTAACTTTATTTACCTATGTTACAGCCTTTATTCTTCTTCTTCGTGAAGTAGGATCACATTATATGTATTTCCTGGATTTTGTACACTAAAAGACTTTCCTTTTTTCCTTGGCTGCAGCCTACATTCTCTGCTGGGCCTAGGCAAGGGAATGTTTTTTTGAGGAAACCGGTTAATACCTTTAAATTCTGGCTCATTTTACATTAATTGCATCCATCACAGGCTACAAAACAAGTGATGTGCTGCCACTAAGGACATCATTAACCAGATGAACATTGTCAGAGCACAGTGCAAACTCTTCATCACCCTGACATATTCCTTTTCCTTGGACTTTGGAGAAAAATTAAACCAAGCCTGTGTTTCTGATGATGTTTTCACAATAGAGGAAAATCTTAGCTATGGAGATAAAAGATCATAAGAATTAATAATACTTGTGTCATGGAGCCTTTTTTGCCCCCTAAATATTATTATATTATGTTATATCATGTTATGTTATGTTAATAATACATAGAATCATAGAATGGTTTGGGTTGGAAGAGACCTTAAAGATCATCTAGTTCCAACCCCCCTGCCATGAGCAGGGACACTTTCAGCTGGATCAGGTTGCTTAAAGCCTCGTCCAACCTGGCCTTGAACACCTCCAGGAATGGAGCAGCCACAGCTTCTCTGGGCAACCTGTTCCAGTGCCTCACCACCCTCATTGTAAAAAATTTCTTCCTTAGATCTAATCAAAATCTCCTCTCTTTCAGTTTAAATCCATTGCCCCTTGTCCTATCACTACACACCCTTGTAAAAAGCTCCTCTACAGCTTAACTAACTAACCCCTAAGATAATAGCCGAATATTTACATGTATGTGCACAGCAAGGTATGTTTGATTTATAAGGCATGGGCGGGAAAAAGACTCATATGTAACCTCAAAACAATTTAAAAAACCCTGTAATAATGAAACTTGATACTCATGCCAAGAAGCTACTGTATAGTACGATTTCATTTGCATTCCTAAGTTGGCAACTCTCCTGACTAGGTGTGTTAGACTTTGTGTGAATTGTTTGGGGTTTTTTTCATTTGTTTGTTTGGTTGGCTTTTTTTGCGTACTAATTTGTTCTTTGTTGTCTGTCTGTGGTTTCTGGCTTTCTAGTAAACAGGAGAATTCAAACAGTGAGCAATGTGATTTTAGAAAAGCTGTCTTTCATTTTCCCCCTTGTCACCTGTGCTCCAGCCTGTTGGCACATGCAGGGGACTCTTATTTCTGTTCATTTTGAATGTCTTCATGCTCATTTTATTTCTTTACCTGGAACTCATTTCTAGACTACTGTGCATTTTTGAGCTTTTACTCTGGTATGGAATTTGAATGATGAATAGTGGTGAAAATAAGCAGGAATCATGAGGATTTTGGTTTGGCTGAGGCAAGTCTGCCAGTGGTATATATTTGTCACGGCTCTTCATATGCTGCTAGTCTTACATTGCAGGAGGATCATCGGCCTGTACGAATGTCTCAGGGCTTTTTTTTTGTACATAAGAGAAAAGCCAAACTGAATGTATTGGAGAAGCTGTAGCTTAATAGATTGCCTTTCGTTATCCCAATCAAAAAGTCTAGCCAACGGTGGGGAGAATGGGGACAAATCAGCAATTGGCAATACTGCTGGTTTGCTTTAAAGTGGAGGTCTTTTTGTGGGAAGCTGGAAAGATAGAAGGGAAGTGTTAAAAATCTCTACGTGCTGCCTGCCTGCTAGATTTTGTTAGTCGTGCAATTTATGGCTAGTTGCATGAAGAAGCTGCTTTCTGGGCCTCCAGAGATTTCTGAAGTGAAAATGTTTGCAGCCCAACAGAAATGCTGCTTTTCTTTTTCGCTTTGCTACAGCTGTGGTATGAGACTTAAAATGTACTTGTCTCAGTCAGTCAAAACACACAATTTCCTCCATCAGTGGTTTACCCTTTTCCTTTCATACTCCATTTGTTAGCAGGGTATTAGACTGGAAAAACTTGCAGGACATACTCAATTTTCTTTCTTTCTGACTTACTGAAGAGGCATTAATGCTATTTAAAATACAGTGTTGATTTGCTTTCATTCTAGTTTATTTTGATAGACCCTAGGCTAAATGCATGTTTGATCACCAATGCACTGAGAGAGCAGCCTGCTTAATGTCAGCATATCCCACAAAAATATCATAGAATGGTTTGGGTTGGAAAGGACCTTAAAGATCATCTAGTTCCAAGCTCCCTGCCATGGACAGGGACACCTTCCACTAGATCAGGTTGCTCAAAGCCTCGTCCAGCCTGGCCTTGAACACTTCCAGGGATGCCATGATAAGGAGTGCAGTTTAAGAGAGTGCACAGGGTAAGGCACAGAACCACTACAAGTTTAAGGGCATTGCCACTCTACCTGGCTTCCCATAGTTAGGTATGAATTTCAGCTAATAATAAAATGCTTGTAATACACTCCCAAAGTGGAGAGTGGAGACAATGGAAAGTAAGAACAATATAGGAATGAATTTTCAAAATGTTGTGTCCCCTAAATCTTGCAAATTGTTGTTCTTTTCATTTGGCTTACCATGTGTTTTAGGGTACAAATAATATCTAGTCTCTGACAAGTTTTTTTAACAGTCTAGAAGAGATGTTGTTTGTAATTTAATATTTAATTTTAATAGCAATAAATTGCGGTTAATAAGATCGCAAATGAGTGCCCTGCTCCCATGCTGCAATAGGCATTTACCGCACAGTAAAGCTATTTTAAATGGCCAAATGTGTTTTTTTCTATAACAATTTAAGTTTTTGGGGTGAGGTTTTTTTTTTGAAAAATAAGTAGCTCCTCTAATTCTATGAGTTTTGATGTAAGCTGTTTAATTTAAATTGTTGACAAAATATTTTATCTTATTTCCCACAGATGCATACACAACTTCAGAAGTAACATACATTTGGACTTACAATGCTTCAGATTCAGTGCAGGTGGCACCAGATGGCTCAAGATTGAATCAGTATGATCTTTTAGGCCAAACAATTGGAAAAGAGACAGTTAAATCAAGTACAGGTGAGTAAAAGATATTCTGAAGAAAAAGGCACTCATTTGTCTCTAAAGAACATAGGTATTGCTGGTGGTGTTAGAATGCTACTGAAAAAAACTTGCAAAATGCGAGATATTAGGCATAGTCTGTTAATGTATGGTAGAAGTAACACATAGCAGCACTTTACTGATTCTTTGAAGTTCATAAATGACCACTGATAGTGGTTCACAGAGGTGAACTCCGCAGTGGTTGTTTTTTAATGCTGTCTGGAGCTCAATCTCGAATCCTAATGTTTGTAACCCAAGACTTGGATAATTGTTTAATTTCATATGGTAAATGACATTTTTTGTCTACTAAATGGTGAAGTATGCTAGTTTCAATCACTTTTTCCTTTCATCATATTTTTGGCATTAAACACTGGATTATTCTATGTGACTCTAGACTGTGTTCCTACATGTGCCAGGCTGTGATGGATCCCCATGATTGCCTTCTGACTGTACAGTAAGTTCTTAGGGTGCCTTTGTGTGAATGCAGAGAGTTGCTTATATGCAGAAGCACATAAGCCTGAAGTTCTTGTCAGGGCATACAACCATTGCTGTAAGTTCCTGAACATTTATCTTTCCTGGAGTTCAGTGGGAATAAGATGTAGTTGTACTCAAAGCTTCATTATATTCTGTAGAATGCTTTCTACTACGAAACATGTTCTGTTCCACTTAACCCTAGCACATGTGGTTCTCATAAATGTACCAAATTTTCTTTTACCAAAGAAATGAACTTTCTTAAGATTATAACCTTTTGTTTCTTTGTGGTTTGTTTGTTTGTGGCACCTAGGTGAATATACAGTAATGACGGCTCATTTTCACTTGAAGAGAAAAATTGGTTATTTTGTTATTCAGACTTACCTCCCCTGTATCATGACTGTCATTCTCTCTCAAGTGTCTTTCTGGCTGAACAGAGAATCTGTACCTGCCAGGACAGTCTTTGGTGAGTATACTGAGTAGCATTAGCTTGATTTGCAACAGCTGAAGCTGTTAGGAAGCATTTCTGAAGTCTGCTTGGTAAAGGCCTTTTTCATTCCAGTTAGTGTATTTGTAGAATGGGATACTCTTTCTAGTCCAAACAGCTTTCAGCTGCAGCTAACAGATCTCCTGAAAATTCCAAAGTTTTTGGAAATAAGCACATATGAGAGAACTGTCCATATATCCTTTACTCTTTTAAGAGGAAAAAGTTTTCACACAATGGAAAAGGATGTTAAAAGTAAATTTAGATAATTTTCTAAAATGTCTTACTTGACTTGATATTATCAAAATATTTTGTTGCTTATGGTAGATAAGCGCATGCCTAAATATATTTGTAAATTAAGCAAATTAAATTTGAGTTTGTTGAATTATCTGAATGTGTTACACTGCGAGCTGCAGTTTTTTAAAAGAAACCTATTCTGGGAGTCTGGGCAAAACTTTCTTACTAATTCAAATTACAGCATACTATAAGGCAGCAAACAGTGTCAGCAGCGCAAAATGTTTTTCTTACATTAAGGTTTTGTTCCCTTCTGCATTAAGGTAAAGTAAAAAATGTCTGTCTTATTTGCATCACTTAAAGTTCTTTTAATTCGTTAACTTTTAAATAAAAAGAGACTAGCACAACAAAAACAAAGTAATGTCTGTATGGAATCAGCCATCAGAAATGCTACATAAAATCATATGATTTGTCATCAGTAAACACAATGCACTCTTCAAAAAATAGGCCAGACTCAAGTGCATATTAAGTATGATGAACAACAAAGCACTTACTGTCTCTCCTGGTAGAGAAAATGTCACACAAAGCATTGTGAAAATTGCAGGTTTGAATATAAGCCTTATTGAAGACAGATGAAATGGGTCAGTGATTTTAGTGGGACCAGAAGTGGGACCATGCTTTCCCAGGCAGTTATCAGGCAGATTTTTTTTTCTTTCTTCAAAATCTTCTGTGAATTTGTCCATTTCTGCTTATCATAATGCACATTACTGTTTCAAGCCTTGCAAGTACACTGTCAAGCCCTTTTGTATCTCTGTCTTGGCCCTTTTCTGTACCTCTTCCTGTACATTTAGGACACTGTAAGTGGTTTGTCCAGTAAAAGTCTCTCATCTTCTCTTCCTAAAATGCACTTTCTGTTACTGTGTAATCAGTAACAAGGCACTAGGATAATTTTCCTGTAATGTTGTGTCCCTTTCTGCATACCTCTTTCTTGTTCTTGATTTATTTTTTGTTTAACTTATGGTGAGGTTTTTTGAAAGAAGTAATATCTGCATAGCAGCCTGTACTTTATTATCCTGGGGATTTAGCATAACATGGATAATGAACAGTGTCCTGTTTCAGGATGTCTTGAGGGAACTGAGCAGGGTGGCCACAAGAACAGAACCACACCACACAGTGACATAAAATCTAAAATCTGTTTCCTGAGCACAATGGGTATATTGAGGAGATGGCAATTTCTATGCTAGTATTTTATTTCTGCCACACAGAGTTGCATGTCACACACCAGTCAGGGCTCCATCCCCTCCAGGCCAGCTCAGACTGGCATCCTGAACCCAGAGGGGCAAGACATGTCCAGGCTCTGCCTGATGGAGCAACCTAGACCCTGCATGCAGCATTTACACCTCAGGCTTAGCCTTGGCGTGTCCCCTGAGGAGCTATTTTTTAGAGTTTTTTTACACCCTGACTGAGATTGTCAGCATAAGGTGCCAACAGCCTCTCTAATCACATAGCCCCAGGCGAATCTCCCAGTCTTTCTCCATACCTACTGGGAGCAGTTGTCCCTGAGATTTCTGATAGCCTCTGATTTCCTGCCTAAACGTGTTACAAAAATGTGAATTTAGCCACAGTTTCGTAACAAAGTCAGTGTGTTGCTTCTTACTGTTTTCTGACTTCTGCTGAATTAACCTTGCCCAGAGCTGGGCAGGTACACTCGAGGTCTCATTTGGGTGATACTTTCAGATCGACTCCACCCAGTGACACATGGAGCCCATACTACAGCTAAGGGAATAAAACAAGCTACTTCCAGCAGGGAATATAAAAATTGCAGGAGATTTTACTTTACATTTTTATTGATCATACTTATTTTTTAGTTTTTATATGGACTAGTCACTTGCTAGATACTCATCTTTGCATTGTAAAATAAATATATCAATATTTAAAATATGATTAAGTAGCAAATATTAGTTTTGATAAAGTGTTTTTCAGAATCAATGAGAAATTTATTTCAAGTACCTCCTTGAGAGCTACCAGATTCTGGAAAGGACTAACTACTGGAGTACTACTCCTTTCAAAGAAATGTTAACTCCCAGTTATCCAAAGCACCACTTAGCATTTATTATTTCATGTCGAAAGAAGTCACTTTTCTTTCCCCTTTCTATTCTCTCGCAACATAGTTTCAAGTTCTAGGTTAACATTAAGGGTTTGGTATAATGAGGCTTCTTTTATAGCTGAGCTCTTTAATCCCTTTCCTTTATGGCATCTGTTTAATATTGTTGACCTAAGCTATCCCAAATGAATTATGGCCTAATGTTATATTGCTTCAACCTTGCTTTAAATTATTGGAAGAAGAAAGTTTTATCATCTTTAATTAAATAAGTCTTGAATGTGTTTTCTCTAGCAGATAAATTTGAAAAGCATTTGATTGCAATTTTAACGGAAGGGAATAAGCCTGGTTGATAATGCCTTCATTTAGTGCAAGATTACGATCTGTTTCATTTAGTAATGTGTTTATTGTTACGCATTTAGCGTCAACAATATTAGCAAAACTAATCTTGTGCAGCTTATTGAATTCTCGCTTCATTAATAATGGGTCATAACATTTAGAAGTATCACATATATTTGAATAGCGGCATGAGATGCAGGTGACAGAAAAATCAGAAATTAATTTTCTTAGTCCTACAGTTATCTGTGTGGTTAAACTCACAAGGAGTAGGAATGAGAATGTTAAAATGAATGTAGTTAGATATATATTCTTTGATACTCGAAGCAGGTAAGAACAAAAATTAATAGTCATATTATTTTTAATACATTGTCCAATTGTAAATTCACATCGCTATGTTCTTTTGTCAAGATTCTGTTCTCTGTGACCATCATTTTCTTACGCTGCATTTTTCTTGTTCTTGGTATATCTTTTCTGAACCTATATTGATTAATATACTTTTTGAAGCAAAAAGCCATTTAGACTTGAAGTGGACTTTAATTGTGCATCTAGAGAAAAGAGAACCTAAGAAAAGTTCAGATTTGTTCTCTGGTTATTTTCACATGGGAATCGAATAACGTAGACCCTTCCTTTTGAACAATTCTGTATATACAAAGTACCTTTTCCCATTTTGTTGAAAAAAAACTCAACTGTATTTACTTCTCCTTTCACATGCTGCAGATTATCTTTTGTGCCTTTAGAGATATCTCACCACTCACAACTTTCAGTCTATAATTTCTTAGTTGGGAATTTCCGCTACCTGTAGCCACAACACTCTAGTGATAGGTATTGGGCAAGCATACCTGGAAAACTGTAGCTCTTAGAGACTGAGCTGGCTGCAAACAAACTGATATGTCTTCTCAGCTCAGTGGTGTGCTAAGACACTAGCTCATATTCCAATAGTGGCATAATGGTAAGCGAGTTTTAATGGAGCTGGGATAAATAGCACTTGCCATTCAGCTTTGGGAATTAGCTCGGCTGTCAGTTGATGAGGAGCTCTGCTCCATTGCTCGATATTGGTTGAGTCAAGCAACATGAGCACGGACTTCACAATATGTTTATGTAGCTTAGCTGACTGACTCAATGCTACTTTTTCTGGTAATAGGTAATGTTATGGTCCTTGGCCTCCTATGCTGCTTAAAAAGACTCTGGTCTTTTGCATAGTTCTTTTAGTGGGAAGGGCAGACAGAGAACTTGAGCTGTTTTCTACGGTCTTTCTCTCAATGGTTGTTCATACTGATTTCCCAGTGTCTAAGCAGAATCAATGTATACTCCTTTTGTATTGTATTCTCAAGTAATACATATATATTGCATATGTATTAATTGCAATGCATTTTGCATTTGCAAAAAGAAGCAGTATGGTGTGTAGCCGAATGTTATGGTATAATACTTTAAAATTACATTATCTTGAGAATTTTTAAGCTTTGGTTTAGACCTCCAATAATAAATAAATGAAATGAATAAAATTAATTACTACTCTGTACCTCTGTAAAAGGCTCAACAGTCTTTTCTTTCTGCTGTTACTTATATTTATAAATCTATTCAGATTTTGGACCAGGTTGAGTGGTCTGATTACCTAACAACATTTGCAATTACTGTTAAGAAAAAAGAAAAAGCGAAATAATAGAGCCATGGAATTAGCTTCATAATTAAAAAAAAAGTAATTTATCAGTCCTTTTGTGATATGTTCTTCAACCATCATGTGTATCTTTGCAAAGTGCTCTGATGAGAAGATAAAATTGTGGGAGGAGTAGCATGACATTATAAGAAATGAAATGTATTTTAAGCATTTTGTACAAATTATTTGCAAAGCTGAAATGCCTCTTTTGTTACAGAAATGTCCTTTGGTAACTCATTATTTAGGCCTTTATTTTCATTTTCAAAGGACGTGTCCACATTCTAACATGAGAAGGGTAGGACATTATTTAGTTGACTAAAATTTGTTCAAATTAGAAAAATCAATTGATACACAAGAGGTAAAATTAGGGTCCAAAAGAACTTGTCTTTGTCATGGAGTAGCCTGATTTTTGCACACAAACATGGGCATAAACTAGTCATCATGACAGATTTTAATCTTTATGCGCAAGCTCCTCTAATTTCCACTGTATGTTTTCAGTTAGGCGTTTCCAGTTTCCAAGTTTACCTCTTCTGCTGTTGCATGGCAGTGCCCTGTACCGTTGATTGACAGAAATTGTTTGCCTGAAGGTGGCTGTCTAACTTTCAACACATCTTGAATGGTATCCATCTGTCCTGGAATCCAAAATATGGCATAACTGATATTTTCCACATATAACTTCAGTGCCAGTGGAAAGTGTCGTGTTTACAACCCTGGAGATGGATATCCTCTCTCCAGTGAGCAGATGCCATTTCAAAAGCAGCACCATAAAAAAAAAAAATCCTACGCAATCAAATAGCTCCAGTCTTGGCCTGGATGGATAAACCTGTAGTGATAGAAGATATTTAGCTTTTATGGGCATGCAGTGCTGAGAACAAAAGCTGTAGTGATGTTGGGGTATATTTACTGTCAGGTATAAAGTGCTGGAAATGTCAGTGGTTTATTTTTTGTATCCTTTTTATAGACAAACGGATGACTGCATGTGGTTTCTTACAAAATGGTAGCTGTCCATGTCCTTCTGGCGCCCGTTCAGTGCCGAATCTGCTGCATGCTGAGCTGTAGAAGATAGTTCTTGACCTGTGTATAAACTCTGGTCTTTCTACATCATTTTGAGATATGATGCAGTCTTTACATAGCCTGTTAAATTATTTAGGCCATTCCGAGTAGTCTGTTATTGAGGGTAGAAGATTGTTTTCCTCTAGTATTTTGACTGCCTCATTGTAGGGGGACAATCTACTCACTGTTTTTTATACCAATCTTAGTTCAGTAGTGTTATGAATTAGATAATGCAATGAGAAATGTTTTTGATCTGATCAGTTTATGGATTTGATGGGGTTTTAAGTTAATCTTTGTGAAAGAAATGTGTTTTGTTTTACAAGTTGACCATATTCCTCCATGTTTACGATTTTTCAGTCCTCTCAGGTTTCACAGTGACAAGGAGGCAGGTTAATTCCATCCAGTCCTTTTTCATAAGAAGACTTGGTAATACTGATTTTTCAAATGAACTATAATGTGCAAAATTATGTCTTTTGACTGAATAAGAATAGCAAGTATAAAAATACTAGAGATTACTAAACTGACAGGTACCATAGATTAAATTTTCTGTCCAATTTTTTCCCACTCAGTTCTTGTTAATGGCTGTGGTAGCTTGAACATCACTAAATTTGTAGAGTGAAGGAATACATGAAAGTGCATTGGCAATTGTCTGACAATGTGCTGTTTGATTAGCATTTAGCTCACAAAGTGATGTGACTTGCTGAACTTTTAGAGAAATTGCCAACTGATAGCAAGATACAAGATATAAATTCCTGATGTTTTAATTGAGCCTAGAAAAGGTCAGCAGTTAATCTTAAATTAGATTTCTGAAGAAGCCAATGGGGCTTCCAGAAGACTAGTTTATTCTAAAAGGTAAGACTTAAAGAGAAGAGTATGTTAACAACTGTATATATTTACATGTGGATAAGGTCACTTTATCTCTGAGAAACAATCACTTTACTGATACCTCTGTATAATTAAAATGATTTATCTGCAGCTCAGGACTGGTGTTAAAATTTGCATGTGATAATTTTAAAGGTAAGATAGACTGCCTTTTCCCTGAGGTGCTGAAAATAATTAAGCCATATGTTGTGTAAGTGTTAGGAGGGAATAAGTTCTTTACAAAATACATTGTCTACGCCTTTCCATGCAATACAGTATGATAAGTGCTTCCTTTTTATTGTGTAGGCTAGTAGATACCAACAGTGTCACGACCAAATCCACTTTAATTTATGGAGGCTGAAAAATAGCAATTAGAGAATTGTGTTTGCTAAGGTGTCTGGATACTGTGTGACTCAGCAGGATGTTTCCGTGCCTTGTTTTCCCTGCTGCACAGGCCTTTGGAAGCATATCAAGGGAGAGCAGCGCCGAGGCTGAGTCCACTTAGCTTTGCTCTGTCATCCTTTATAGCACCCTCAGAGATGGAGATTCTTTACAGGAAGGATGGAAATTGCAAAGCCTGAAGAGGTCTGAGTAGGTGTAATCGCTGCCTCCCTTCCCTCTCATACAGTGAATAAAAATGCTTTTCTTGTAGCAGAAAGAAAATCTGGGCTAGGTTGATCCTGCAGAACCCAGCTGATGGATTCCTGGCAGTGGAGGATCTGGTTTAGGGAGAATGACTTTACTTTCTCTTGGGAATCCTGTTACATTTTATGAATGTGTAGTTGTTGAAGTTGTGATGTGCTGTTACTAATATTTCTGCCATGACATCTCCTTTGCCTGTCATAATGGAGTGTAGGTTTGCTGATCTGTGCCAAGTATATCGCTTTGCGTTGCTTTTCATTCTGGAGACGTATTTAACGTCGTGCCACAAGGGAATAGTTTAGTTTGTCTAAGTGTGATTCAGCCTGAGGTGGGAGAACTGGTTTGCTTAAGGAATGGAGGCTGCATTTGTGGCTCTGGCTAAATCTGATTCAGAAAAATTTTCTTCTCTTCCTTTCCTCCTGTAGATCTTTCTTCTCTTCCTTTCCTCCTGTGTATCTTTTTTTCTGATTTTTAGCAGTATAATTCTTGGCTTCCTACTGAGTCTTCATTATGTACAAAGTACTATAAAGTGCTTTTAATAACTGCCATAGTGAAAGAACAATCTTCCTGAATCATCAAGTCTTGTTTTCTGATATGTTATATGCACTTATAATCATATAGCATTTCAAAGCAATATGATGTTCTAGAAAAAATCCATGCTACCTGAATGAAAACTTAACCTGTTTATGTTTTCAACTATGTCACTGAATGGTTAGTGAGACAGCTACTGGAAAAAAAAAAAAAAAAGATTAAAAAAAAATCATTGTTTCTTATACAGTGTTCAATTTGTGTGATACTGTCAGTAAAGATGGGTGCCAGACTTGCAGCTACTGCAGTAATGCCAGCCACCAAACATTAATATATTAATCATTGTTACTGTAATGCTGAAAAGTATTATGATTCCATTAAGAAATTGTTAATTTTGTCCCTTACCTGTCCTGATAGCTAAATAAAAAATATGAAGTATTATCTATCTCCTGTAAGTAAAATCTTCAGCTGATTAAAAAAGGGATGTTTAGACAACAAAATTGAACTAAAATACTTCAAAGGAAACTCCAGATGCAGACTTTAATATAGTTCTGGCAGTTCGTCACCAATTTAGACAAGCAAATTTTCCATTGTGTCTTTCAAAAATATACCATAATAATTTTTGGTTTGTATTTTTGTTGACATTCAAAATCTAAGTAAAATTGTTGATGTTTTGTTTCTTTGTCCCCTTGCAGGAGTAACAACTGTGTTGACAATGACAACACTGAGCATCAGTGCTCGAAATTCACTCCCTAAAGTAGCATATGCAACAGCTATGGATTGGTTTATTGCTGTTTGTTATGCATTTGTATTCTCTGCATTAATTGAGTTTGCAACTGTAAATTATTTCACAAAACGAGGATGGGCCTGGGATGGAAAAAGTGTAGTGAATGATAAGGTAAGTCCTAAGGAAATAACTCAGTTTCCAGTCAATCGCACTAAAACAGCTGTTTTGATAAAAGTGACTATATAAAAAAATACATAATGCTTTAAAACAAAAGAATGTAGATGTGTTTTCTGTCCTGAAGAAAAATATATCTGCTCTGATGTCGCTAAACTCACTTGGTCTCAATAATCCAGATTTAGTTATCAAGCATATTGATTTTTATGTTGGGAACTGTCTGACTTGTTCTTAAGTCCTCAGATACAACTATTTACCTGGGTATTCAGAAATTTTAATCCAGATTATATTGGTTGATCACTTTAGTATTATTTAGTCCAATTGAGTAGGAAATAAGAAGAAGATTATAGAAAGATATAATGTATATTAATTTTTAAACTGCTAGAATTTCTTATTTCGTGAACAAAATGAACTGGTGATATGCCTAAATTTGTGTCAGGCTTTACGGTTTACAGTTTTAATAACACAGAACAAATGTTAAAGCTGACTTGTTATTTTGACTGATTTACTAGATTATTTAATTTTGTCCTGCCCTGATTCTACTAATGGAAAAGGATTTATTCTGACAAAGAATACTCTGATTTCTGTGGTTTTCCTTCAAATAGCATAGAATATTATTTCCTTCCTAGATGACAGTAGTAGATGTGAAGCGAAGTTTATCTGATGGTTTCTCAGCACTTTGAATGCGTAAAGCACAATGCATAAAGCAGCAAAGTGTTCAATTAATGGTAAAGGAAAATGAGAGGAAATGAGTACATTGTTTATAATTCCCTGTGGCTTCCAGAAGGGCATAGCTTCAGGATCTGTTCCCTCTTGCTAGAAATAGATACTGAATCACTACAAGTTTATCAGTATGTCACAAGTGAAGCTTTTCAGACTGGCACATTGCCCTGGCATTGTGATAATGTTTAACAACTAGGTGGTATTCCTTCCCTAGGAATGACAAAATTAGCCATTCCATTTTAAGATTTATATACCATTGACATGTTCAGTTCTCCATTTTCTTCAAACTTACTTAACAAAAAGTGAAACTTTTAACATATTCATAGTTTCTCATACAAAAATATCATTCATCTTTATTATGTAGGTCTCATTAATGGTATTACAGATTCCTTTCAAAAACACGCTAAGCGTGTCTGAAAGGAAGGAGTTACAGATCGGAGTGTTCCTCTCGTAACTTCATTTCGTAATTTGCTCTTATTTTTGCCAAATGTATCTGTGCACCTAAAGTCAGGCTTATTCCTCACCAAATAAAGTGAAATATGTTTCCTCAGTGACAGTTATCTGTGTTCATGTTATATGGAAATTCTCATCTAAGTGCTGTCAACATGGAATTTGTCTCACAGCAAAACAGGTGCAGGGACAAACTACATACTTGATCATCCCTTTCTCACAGTCCAGTCAATAAGGAACAATGCTGAATTCCTACCCGATCCCAGATTTTCTTTTTACATGACACCGTCTCCTGAGACAAGGTATTTAAGGCAACCAAAATTAGAAATTGGGTAGATGCCTCCCAATGGAAGTAAAAAATTGGAATGCACCTATATGGGAAAAGTCACCAGAGTTCCCTCACTTATGCCACTTCTAATAGATCAAAAATCAAACCAAACCAAACCAATACAACAGCTGATGATTTCTTATATGAGGCAGAAGTTAACCATTTCGTCATCTGTTTAATTCTGTATTTCGTGGAAGAGATGGACTGAATCTAATACTTATTTGTCTGCTTCTAATTTATATACAGAGAGCCTTGCTTCCTGAGAAACTGAAATCCTTCCATTCTTTTATGTAGGTTATTAGAAGTTCCTTAGTTTGGGATTGCTGCAACGCAATGAACCCGTTTATAGCATTACAGTCTCATTGCAGAGCTAGTATGTGTGCCTATACATGTGTAAGAACTGAAGCCAGTACTCGTTACCTATACATCCCTGTATCTGTTTATAGATATAGCCTCTCCATTGGACTGCCACTGGGTGGACTTTAGCCATTTGAAAGCATACACAATCCTGTAAAAACACAGAATTTCTGAGGTTGGAAGGGACCTCTGGAGATTGTCTAGTTCAACCCCCCTACTCAAACAGAGTCAGCTGGGGACAGTTGCTCAGGGTCAGGTCCAGACGGTTTTTTGAATATCTCCAAGGATGGAGACTTCACAATCTCTCTGGGCAACCTGTTTCAGGGCTCAGTCACCCTCACAGTAAAACAGGGTTTTTTGTATGTTTATGTGGAATATTCTGTACTTCCCTTTGTGCCCATTGCCTCTTGTCCTTCCACTGAATATCACCGAGAAGAGTCTGGTCTGGTCCTCTGCTCTCTCCTGCCAGATATTTATATACATTGATGAGGTATCGGTATCCCAGGAGTCTTTCTTCTGCAGGCTGAACAGTCCCAGCTCTCTCAGCCTTTCATATTTCAGATGCTTCAGGCCTTGAATCATCTTTGTGGTCCTTCACTGGACTCACTCCATTATGTCCATGTCTCTCTTGAACTGGGCAGCCCAACACTGAACCCAGCACTCTAGATGTGTCTGACCAGGGCTGATTAGAGAGCAACCATCACCTCCCTCGACCTGCTGGCAACGCTCTTTGTAATACAGCCCAGGAGGCTGTCGGCCTTCATTGCTGTGGGGGCACATTGCTGGCTTGTGTTCAGCTTGGTGTCCACCAGGACCCCCCAGGCTTTTTCTGCAAAGCTGCTTTGCAGCCCAGTAGCCCCTGCCTGTACTGGTGCATGGGGTTATTCCTCCCAAGATGCGGGACTTAAATTTCCCTTTGCTGAACTTCATCAAATTCTTGTCGATCCATCCTGCTTTTCTTACCTTCTGTTATTTTGTAGGTTCTAATCCCTATTTTCATCACTGTTATGCATTTTTTAAACAATAATTTCTGAAAAACAGAAATAGTTCTTGGGCTAGTTCTCAGCTCCCTTCTGACACTAGCAGACTGAGTCCTTCTTTCTCTTAATTGCAGTCTCTTTCTGACCTCTGTGCATGTGTGTCTATATACATGTAAACACACACATATTTCTCCAGAGTCTCTTAAAAATGTAGACCGTTACCGAAATTCCTTTATTTCATTGGTGGTATGTTATGAGATGTTGCAATAATAGTGATGTTAGATTTATGTGGGAAAGATGTCCTAATTTTCATTTTATTACAATGCCAGGTAATATTTTTTTTCCCAGTCTGCCCATTCACTCCTTCTAGTTCTCTTAACGGAGAACATTTTCAAGATCTTGTGACTCTGTTGTAAGGAGCCAGATACAAAGCAGCTAGATAAAGATCAACTCTTTTCCAGTTATCCCTACAATTGCAGTAAGAGACCCTTTCTCATATAACTTCAGTAGGGTATTTGATGGTGCAAAAGTCCATGTTTTTAGACCATTCTTATGTTACTTGTACCTTCTTTCTGGATAGACTGGAAGTGTCTGTCTTTATATTTGAATTTATCATTATGGTATTCCTGGTATTTATTTTAACATACTCACACAGACTCATTTGTTTCTTTTACATTTGAAATGATGTTTTATTAAGTCTATTCTGGCACGTACACGTTAAATATCTAACTTCATGCTGTCTTCTAATAGAAAAAAGAAAAAGCGTCTGTCATTAAGAAAAACAATGCCTATGCAGTGGCTGTTGCCAACTATGCTCCAAATATTACCAAGGACTCAGTGCTACCAACCATCTCCAAGAGTGCTACAACTGCAGAACCCAACAAGGCAAAACCAGAAGCGAAGCCACAGGAAGCAAAGAAGACATTCAACAGTGTTAGCAAAATTGACAGAATGTCTAGAATAGTGTTTCCAGTCTTATTTGGTACTTTTAATTTAGTGTATTGGGCTACATATTTAAACAGGGAGCCTGTCTTACTTGGCTTTGCGCCATCAACCTAAAAGCTGAATTGCACTGAGGACTTAAAGCATCATTCTAATCAGATAGGTTGTTTGCTATGTACAGTACGACTAATAACTGCTAATCTGTGAACCATTATGTACAGAGTGTATATAGATGTCTTATCTGTGTGTCTCCAAAGGAGGGACACAGTGTTAGTTCATGGGTCTGTAAACAGATGGCACCCATGGCAAATATAGCCAGCTCTTTAAAAGTTATACCCAGGGGAGTTCTGTTAAACTAGGATTCAAATATACAGAATTATATTCTCTCCGTACAATGAAATGAAGATATGATCCTACATAATTATTTAGGAACAGTATTTTTTTAATTTAAAGTTAAAATATTTTTCTATAAAGTAACTAATTCTACTTTAATGAAATAAACTGTCATTTAAAAAAAGTGATTTTTTTAAAAAAGTGTAATTGTTTCATACAATAGCAGTACCCGTGTACATAACAGAGTACGGAGGTCATACAGTTCTACTGTTCACAAACATTCTGGATACTAGTTAGGCTGAAGAGGTCGTAAAGACTACTATATGGCAAAAGTCACAAGTTTCTTACTTCTGTCCTGTTTGAAGTTGTTATTAAACTCTTCTAATTGATTTCAGGGAAAAGCAAGTGTTAATCAAATTTCCAATATCAACCAACTTCCGCTAGTGAAACTCTTATTCTTTTCACTGCTTTATTTATTTCATGTTGCTAAGCCAGGTTGTCTGGTTCAGCAAAGTTGGATTTTTTTGCTTTTTGATTTTGTTCTTAATTGGATTATTGTCAGGTCCATAAAAGCACTCAGAAATTTTTCAGGGTTAAGTATATCAGTAATATAATACACTCTTTTTCCTTGCTTAACGTTACCCTAAAACCTGCCATTAAAATATTTACCTGTATTTGTCCCAGAAAGCGTTGTTTTCAGAGGAAACAAGAACCATGATTTAAGTTCAGGAAATTGTGCTTATAATAAAATTTACTGCTGCTTTTGTAAATTGCAACTTTACATTTCGCTGACATAACTTTACAACAACTTTGTATACTAGAAATGGTTTTGCTAAGATTTGAATGTTATTTTTTTAATAAAAGGTCATGCATCATTAGTAGGTATCAACTGTATTTCATATACACAAATATAACAAAATTGGAGCTGCCATTTGCAATTTTATATGAATATTTAATACTGATAAGTAAAATTGTTTTTCGTCTGAGCCTTTGCAAACATTCTTTATGCCCCTAAAGGCCCGGTAAATCATGACATAAGTAATAACTGTGTACTGTATTTAGATTTTAGTATACTTGGCCAATCAAAAATATTTTGATTCACATATACATTAGCAGTTATTAGTTGACCTTTCAAAAAAGATACACCTTTATGATGATGTCTTCTAGTAGAGACATATGTAGTCGTATAGTGTCATTTATTGCAGTTTTGTACAGTACTTGAGTATAGTGCATAAAATAGGTATGTTCAGAGTTTAACAAAGTTGTACAAATATTTCTAAAATCAAATAAAAGAGTATCTTAAGACATGGAAATGTGCTAAAAACAACAAAGAGAAACACTGCTTTCATTTGCTGTTTTATTTTCTTGCTTTTTCTTTGCTTTTAATGTGATTCTGTTTTGTACTTTGTGTGACAGTATAGATGCCAAGGTCACAAATGCATATTATGAATAGAATTAATAGCTAAGACAGAGTTGACATTGGTAAAATAAAGACATTTTGTAAGTTATAAATGAAAGGGAGAATCATGGACAAGGTGTGTATCCCTTGAAGTCCCTCTAATTAAACTGTCAGATTAAACCTTTCTCATCAACAGTAGTTAAAAATGAGCACTTTACTCAGAACATTAAAATAAAAATATCCTTATTTTCATACATATTTATATATAAATGTAGATCTTCCATGTAACATGGAGATGTGTGCAATAGTCTGGTTGTGAGCGTAAGGCTGGAAGGCAAGCAATAAAAAAAAGGTTTTTTCATGGTATAATTATACATTTTTAAAATGTTTCATTTGTAAATTATAAATTATCTCTTTAATGTCACATCATCCAAGTATGAATAAATATATAAATATGTACATATGTACAAATAATTGTAAATATTAGAACTGTAGAAAAAACCCTTCACTTTTAACTCTGTTTTTGGCAAAGGGCTCTGACTGTATAGTTTAATGGAGGCCTATGCTAAACTGGTCTTGAACTTGAGTAGCTTGATTATGTTTTCTGTAGCTGAGGTCTCCTTCCTGTGACCTAGTGGGAGTTCTTACCTTCTGTCCACATCAGCAAGATTTAAGGACTCTCCAAACCTCACTGGGCTGGGATATGAGAAACAGAGGTTGTGTTTCACCCTTGACCACATCCCAGGTACTCCAAACCCTTCGCAATGTTTCAGAAACGTTGTCTATTGCTCCATGCATGACACTATATAGTCTGAACTCTCCCCAACACAAATGCGAGTGTGCTCAGAGGCATATTGGATTACCTGATAAGGAAGGATTTTGCATCCTTATTCAAGAAGGGGACCCCTCAAAGGTTTTTAATAGTACAAGTCATCTCCAACAAGACTTCTTCTCTTGAAGAGAACATCTGTGTAATTCAGAGCTGTGTGCAAAAAGCTTATCTTCAGTTTGCCTGAAGCCTGATGCTGTCTCATGTTAGTCAGCTCTGCTGCTACTGCTTTTATTGGGTACAATTATTTTTTCGTTCACTGACCATTTTCTCTATGCTTGTGTTATGCTCAGAGTCAGTCAGATAAAAAAACAGGTGTTTGTCAGATGCTAAAGATATATTTATCACACACTAATATAGAAAAATAGGCATACTATATCAATTCACTCAGTGAAAAATAATGCATTTTTAATATCCACATGCAGTTATTGTGGGCATCAGCAAGGTTTTGAGTGCGTATGCTCCAGAAAAGTTTCACTTTTACATGTAGTTCAGTTAGTCTATGTTAAAGCAAACTCCTTCTGAGGGAGGAAGGGTCTGCTTTCTTGTTTCACTACTGAAGCATTTGTAGTGAGTAAACTGACTACACTGAAGTTGCAAATTTGTAAGGCTAACATCTGGATTTGAATGTAAACATTTGAGTGAATGCAAACATCATGTAAGGAGCACCAGAATACAAGAGTTAGGCCTTCTTTCCATTTAGCAGTATAGAATCTGTGTCTGGGATTTTAAAGCTTGTCTCACAGATTTATGTGCCAAATACCTAGAAGTTTCATGTAATTTGAGTAAAACTTGCTGGTCTTAAAGCGAGGAGAAAGAGCATGAATGAGCAAACGCAAGTCACTTCCCGATCTAAAACTTACACACAGAATCTACCAGTGAAATTTTTGGTCAACATGTTAATCTAATTTATTTTTCTCATTGTTCTTGGGTTAGGGTGTCATATTTTGTGTGACTTAAGAAAATGAATACAATAAAAACAATGATAAAACCCTGTGATAAACTTGGATTAGAATTGCCATAATTGTGCACAAGGTTTATGAAATAGGTTTCCCATGTAGTACTGGGACACGTACTTCTGGGTCCATGTGGTCAGTAATTTAACAGTAATTTATAAATCAGCATGAAGAATATAGAGATCAGCAGGGTTTATCAGCCAGGGTTGACTACTGGAGACTGCTTAACATATTGCTTTTTAAAAAGTGGCTTCCAAACTTCTCAATTATGTTGTAGCTAAAGAAATTGCTTTCACCTTCTATATGTGGGTTAATTCAACTTGTAACTGCTGCATTGTTGAGCATCTTTAAAAAAAATATTATGGTAGATGTTCTGAAATTGGCGCTATAGCTTGGGAGACTACTCATACCACTGAACATTGTGCTACATTACAGAGCTATCCTGCCTGTATAGTCACAGGACAGAGCATGAAAGACCTTCACTAGACACCAAATGGGAGCCTTACTGAATCACCCTCTCTTCCTAGTGGTTAAAGATAATATATGGGGTGCTGAGACTTTTAACAGTGAGGTGACCGTAAACTGTCTGCATGAAAGCAACCAGAAACAGCTGGGAGGAGGTAGGGATGTATGGGAGGAGGGAAGGGGGAAAGAAGCAAATGACTTCTTTGTTACTGTGTCAGCGAATTGTGAGATGACTGCGGAAGAGCTGTTGAAGGAGGTAATACGTATTTTTGTTTCAGCTTCAGTTCTGAGCCTTCAGTACCGTATATGAGTTGTGGGAAAGTAAGTTTTAAGGCATATGAAATTGAAATATTTCTAGTATAATTTTGCTGAACTTGAGAGACATGAGTTGTGCCTTTGAGAGGCGTTTGCTGACTGCTTTCTGAAAACTGTGCAACATTGTGTACTTCCTCCTGCATGGGACATGGAGGGCAGAAGGGGAAAAGAAGCTTCAGGAAGGAAGCAGAACTTTGTTAATGCCAGGCTTTGTTTTCTTAAGGGGTGTGACTTTCACTTAAGCACAAATAGTCAGCATCCATCCTCCATACCTCTCATTCCTATTCTGAAAGTTTAATGATACACAAGTTTTTGCCTTGGCCTTTTGTAAGAGAGATGAAGTCTATGCTTCTGAACATTTCCATTCCTAACAAATTTGTGTGAAAGATTATTTCAGTATGGATATGAAGCTATCATCAGACTAAGCCTCGTTATGTGTAGACACATCATGCTAAAATTTAGAAAACACTGCAAGGGGTCTTAAAGGAGAGGAAGAGAACATTTTAAAATGAGCCAAGAAAGTTAAGTAGCTTAATTTAATTAAAAAAAGAGTGTGATAAATATACAAGTGTCTAAACAAATCTAAATAGAATCTCTGAGTGTGGTATAATTTGATGTCATATATAAAGTTTTTGTCTTAAAGACTTTGAAGCATTAAAGTAATTAAGTGAATTTATGTGAAAATCAGCTCACGTTTCAGCCTCCAGTAAAGAGAGTGGTTCTTTAGAAAGCAGAGTTTTAGGATTTCTTCCACCTCCTCCCAATGACAGTGTACCTTCTGCTAGAATGCTGTCAGCTTGAAATATAACTCTAAATATCTTTATAACATTACCATATCTTTTTCTTTTTTTTTTTTTTTTTCCAGTCAAGGAGACCTCCTCCACCTCATTTCTGTAGATAACCCAAACTCCCTAACAACCAGAACTGTTAATTCTGTTCTGAATGCAATTGTTAGTTCCAGCCGGCTGAGAATCAGTGAGTGGCTTCATTACTTTAGATCTTCAGTAGCAGAAGCTAAAGGCTCAAAAGTTTGTTTCAACAAATGGCAGATAT